AAGAAAGTGTTGGTAGGAAAAATCGAACTCGTGACCAAAGGCCTTCGCACTCACCTACTCCACCAAGTCGAACACCCCATAAGCGGCCTATATTATAATATCTTGTTAGCAAGATGAACGGTAAAAAGATAACGAAATTAAAGTTTCATCAATTGCATCATATGTATGGTACCTATATAGGGTACCAAGTAGTAAAATTTTAGACAGCATTTAGAAAGTAAAATTGATTTTAAGTCCTTATTTGATTTCTATTGTTTTTAAAATGCATTATCTCTATTTTTTTAATTATATATTTTTCAATAAAATAATATTATACATAAATTCAAAAATTTTCGTATTTTTTAATTATAAATTTTCCATTGATCTACTATTTTACAATGTATTCTTATATTATAATATAGCTCAAACAGAAGTGTGTACAAATTTTAGTGAGAATATATTATGATATGGTGCATAACAACGAAGTCGAAGGTGAGACCTAAAAAATTCCAAGAATGTGAAAAGAATATACTTTCTTCATCCTATAAAGATAAAAAAAAATTCTGCCAGTCTCAAATTATAGGTCAATTTCCTTATTTGGAGCATAAATATTTTTTTAATTTTCTAAGATATTCCTATATGCGTTGTTATCAATAAATATAAACTACTTATATTATTTAATCTAAGCGTATACTTGAAAAAATGTTTTAAAAAAAATCCCTTGTTTGGTCTTTATTATTTTTAAAATACATTTTCTCTCTCTTATATTTAACTACACATTTTTCAATAAGATAATATTACGTGCAAATTCAAAACTTTTCCTTCTTTTTTATCACACATTCTTAATTAATCTACTACTTTAAAATGCATTCTTAGACAAAAGGGGCTCAAACGGGATATTACCCTTGTTTGGTGGCCTTTAGATTTTCAAAAATATAGTTTTGAATAGTATTTTTTGAAAAATGTGTAGTTAAAAAGTAAGTAAATATTTTGGATTTATGTGTAAAATAATGTGTGAACGTGTGATTAAAAAAGTTATAAAAATAAATTAAAGTAAAGCGAATCAAACAGTGACCTAATTATATTAATTCTATTTTCTGATATGTGTGAAAATGAAAAAAAAAAATCTGAAAAATCTATAATTGGAGGAAGGAAGGAAATAATTTGTAGGCTTCTAGAATTAGCCCACAACCAAGAAGTCCAAACATAAAGATGACAGCAGGCCCATTAGTTTAGAGCCTTTTACTCCATGGGCCCTCGATCCACTTGCTTTGACTCTCCCGTACTTCATCATGAAATTCATCAACAGATCAAATCAATCGCTATCTCACTCTATTGACAGATGAAAATTATTCCAAGAAAAACATAATATTTTTGATTTCCTGCACCAATGTTTCCAAATTAGTCAAACTTCATACCTTTTCGACATAAACCATATATCTTTGAGAGGCAGACATTAGGTAACAGACTGTTGGCACAGCTTTGGCACCCCAGGTTAGCCAACCCCTCACACGGTTCGACATGCCAATGTCTAAGTAAACACACAATAGACTCTGGATGAAATGTTGCGACTCTATAGTATATGATGATACATTTAGTATATTTTTTATAATTTAGGTCATAAATCAATTGTTAACAATCATTTCGTATTACAAGGGTATGTGACACTTAACTTCACAGAAGAGAAGAAAATATCACTTTAACTTAATCAGTAAATAAATGAATCATTGAGAGTAATTGATACGTGGGTGAAAATTTTTGCATAGGCTTCAGTTTCGTGAGACTGTCAACCTCCGGTTGTATTTTAGTCATTATGCTATTCCTTTATATTCACTATCTATATTGTTGGTTTTGACATGGCTTAACATTATGTTCCAGACTAACGAAGAAAGAAAGGCATAATAGTGTTGTGTACGTCATCGAAGAATACTATCAGATAGAGCCTCGTGTTTTCAGTATCTCAACACATCAATTTTTATTAACAAATGAAAGTCAAAAAATTTGAACCTAATCTATAACCATTCAGGTTGCGGTTGGTTTGGCCTTTTTGGGCCATTTTCCGTTTTTTGTTTTCGAAAACGAGGAAAACGCGTTTGGCCCGTTCTTTTCGAAAATGCATTTTCGAAAACGAGTAAAAATTTATAACTGAAAACGTAAAACGACTTTTTATCATTTTGAACGTTTTCAGTTATAAATTCTCAAAACACGAAAACGCCCAAAACTCACCGTTTTCGGGGAAAACTAAAAATCATTTTGAAACTGAAAATAGAAAATGCAAGACTAAACCAACCGCACCATAAGAGTTTTGTTTTTCTAATAAGCGTAGTATAGAAAGTCCTTTAGTTAGTCTAAGATCTCTATATAAAAGTTACATTATTTCTCTTATATAGTCAGTATTTCATTTCTTTTTCCATGAATTTTCCTCATTACATATGAAATTTGACTGTAACTAATCACCACAATTTTCACATTTTGCAAAGAAACTCAGGTTTGGTTAAACAGTTTCACTGGTTTGATGTGACACCTGGCTGATTCGGGTCATGGCCAGTTGAATTGTTAATTGGATCAAATCTGGTTCGGGTCATGACCTTTAATTGGACTTATTTTTATAATTTCAATTAAATTGATGTTTTAGTATTACTCCGCTCTAAAATATAGATTTTTTGCGGACTCCCAATAGTATTGAATTATGTATTGAAGTTCCTAGACATGTTAACACTGTACTTCCATCCAATCTAACTTGCATTTCATCTTCATCGATTGGCATTGTCGAGCAACCACATGTCAACATTTTCTTTGTCTAGTTGTTTCACAATTGATGCGTGCCGATTCAATCAACTATATATGCAAACTTTTTATTGTTTTTGGGTGTTCTACACGACTAGCTAGTTTCAAGCCATGTGAAGACAAGGTGTGTTAATCAATGAATTTATATCAAAAATTGAAAAAGAGTAAGAACTTATACCAAATTCTCTTAAAGTACGTGATGATATATAGACACTCTCTAATTTCAAAAAATGAAAGAGGTACTTTGTAAAACTAGTAACATATAATCCCCTTTTACCTTTTAAGACTTCTGATAAATTTGGAAAAAATAAATTGAAGTGCCTAATATTCTACTTATTAATTTAGCCTATATTTGACCTCCATTTTTTCAAAAATTCATCTTCAATCATACATTCTTCCATAAAATAATTTTACACTTGAATTGACTTTTTTTTTTTATTTTTTAACCACACATTTACTAAAAAATTATTATTCCAAAATACACTTCCAATCCCCTTGGAAAAAAAAAAGAAAGAAATTCGAAAGGCAAACAGTTGATATTAATACTACACAGTTTATGTTGTCTTTTCATCAATAATATTTTAATTTCTTTTGGCCAATTGATTTTCTCAAAAAATTAAGTAATGTAGGATTAATCACACACTGAAATATTTATATGCGACAATTATTATCAAATCTTAAATATATATAAGGATTAACCTTTCATTTATATGGTCGATGATAATATAGGGTCTCTTTACAATTCCGTATAAATTGGCTATTCTATTTTACAGATAGGGTAGAGGAGCACATTCAGATCTTGTTTATCTATTAGTTTTCACTTCTTTTCATAGTGGGGCATAAAAGTTTGACGGCTTGCAAAGCTCATAATCTTGAGGTCAAGGGTTCAAATCCTATCTCCATAATATCTCTTTTTTTTTTTTTATTAAACAAAAGGGGGGTTGACTCTGTTAACTTGTAATTAATTACCCCCTAAAGAGGGTGGTAGAAAAGGAAAAAAAGAAGAAGGGATAGACTCGCAACACTAAAATGTATAACCTAATAATGTTGCGGGCGCACAATTAAATATCAATCGTATTTTAAAATAAATGATAATTAATTCAATGAAACATACTTGTTGCAGCAACAATTACCTCCAATGTTAGTAATTTTCAATTGCAACAAAAATAATTAACATATATTTACCTAAAAACGAGGCTAAAAAAGAATAGTGATCGTTATGTTTAAAGGTTGAACCCCAACCTTAAAGACCCCTACCTTCCCGTCCCTAAAGTTTTGTGAGGGAGATAAATCGCGGGATGTGCCCCAACAGGTCAAGGAACAAGAACTGTCTGTACATTGCGCCTATAAAGAGTTCAATTTCATGTCTCAAGAATCGAACCCTCACACAGTAACTGTTAACAAAATATGAGATAATCTCACTCCTATTATTAGCACCACTGAACGATGCCTGATAATAGTGATCGTTACGTTTGGTAAGACGGCTAATGGAGTGACTAATACTGAAAATATTGTGATTGAGACGGATTAAAGTTAGGTTCAATTGATGTTCCACAGTTCCACTAACCAAAATAATATAAAATAGTGTGAGGACATAGTTTGGCCTTTTTGGAGAAAGAAAGAAAGATATTTTGGGCAACACAGCTAGGGTTTGCAGCTTCATCAGGTCCACGTAAGTGATGGACACGTGTCAAGTGCAAAGTTAAAATAGATTTCAGATGTTGACTTCTTTTCATGTACGTGTCATAATATCCTTTACTTACCTTGACGCTTTTGCTGCATTCATTGGGATGATTACTCCCAACACACACACACTTGCTTATTTTACACCCTTATTTTAAGAGAGTGACATCACGCGCTATTAGGAGAATCTCGTACGCCACGATCCTGTCACGTGTCATAATCCTCTTTGAAACCCGTACACTTCAATTTCCTGAAGAACTCTAAAAAAATTAAATTAAAAGAAAAAGGAATAACAGAGAAAGAGGAGTCCTCCCCTGGGCCTGGACCACATGCGCGTCACAGATGAACTCTGTTTTGATAATGTCGTGGTGGTTTCTAATTGGTCCACGTAGACAGATAAAAGGACGGCCAAGATCATTCATGTTTCGACGTCACACCAACTGTACATGTGTCGGATACAGTCTGCCCTTGACGGTGACGGGCAGCTGCCCGCAACACGTCATCACCCTACTTCAATCAAACCATAATGTGGTCTCCCCCTCAACTCTCCAAAAAGCTTCATTTACTGGGTCTGCACCAGATTTTCGTATCTTTTTTTGTTTCGTCTGTCTACTGATTTCTTCATCCTTTTCTCTTTCTCTTCACCAGGATAGAACTGTTTCACTATTATATTACCATTCAAGTACAAAGCTCTCGTCCCATACTTCTACGAGACTGATATTCCATGGCGGGTATGTGCTGTGAGGTGAATATTGGTGAGACAGAGACGACTGTACCTGGAGACCGGAGTTCAAAATCCGGTAGGAGGAAAACGGAAATTCACCAGTTAAAGTTTCTACGCACCGATTCCTCGGCGGATCCGCCGCTAGAGAACGTTAAAAATAAAAGGCAGAAGATAAAGGTAACTGTCCCCGTTTCACCTCCTTGTGAGTGCATAAACGCAATTCAGAATCTCCAAGTAAAGGAGAAACAGCTTGAAACCGTAACTGAGCTCAATCGGGTTCTGGAGTGGCCAAAATTCGGCGTGACGTCGGTTTGTGGAAGAAGAAGAGAGATGGAAGATGCAGTGGCAATTCACCCTTGTTTCTGTGGCAAAATCAATGATATCTCAACTGGATTACATTTCTTTGGAGTATATGATGGCCATGGCTGCTCACATGTGAGTAATTATTAATTACTATAAATTATTTTTAAACTTCTGAACAAGTTGATGAATTTATTTTGATTTGCGTGTTTATAGGTGGCGACCAAGTGCAAAGAACGAATGCATGAAATAGTGAAAGACGAGCTCAAAAGTGGGGAGGATCCTTCATGGAACGAAATTATGTTCAAGAGTTTTATAAAAATGGACAAGGAGGTAACAGAATGGTCTACTAATGGAGCTCCCACCTCTACTTGCAGATGTGAGCTTCAAACTCCTCATTGTGATGCCGTTGGATCCACAGCCGTTGTGGCGGCGGTAACGCCTGACAAAATTATCGTTTCTAATTGCGGTGATTCTCGCGCCGTCCTTTGCAGGAACGGTGTTGCAATTCCCCTTTCAACCGATCATAAGCCTGATCGACCCGATGAGCTTGATCGAATTAACCAAGCTGGTGGCCGGGTCATTTTCTGGGATGGGCCTAGAGTTCTTGGTGTATTGGCGATGTCTCGAGCGATCGGAGATAACTATTTGAAGCCATATGTGATCCCGGAGCCGGACGTGACTATAACAGAGAGGACAGCGGACGATGAATGTTTGATCTTGGCTAGTGATGGGCTGTGGGATGTGGTTACGAATGAGGTGGCGTGTGGAGTGGCGCGTATGTGTCTTCGGTCCCGGAAGCCTTCATACCCATCGCAATCTCCAGGCAATGAAACAACAGTGACCGCTGCTGGTGAGAGCTCCGACAAGGCATGTTCAGACGCGTCAATTCTTTTGACTAAGTTGGCCTTGGCCCGTCATAGCAGCGATAACGTTAGTGTTGTCGTGGTTGATTTGAGGAAGGAACTATAGAGATTTACCCATTTTTACGTTTGACACGAATGTGGTAGTTACGGAATTTCTCCGGCTTCCTTGAAGAAGGAAAGAATGAAAATGAAGAAAAAAATTCTAAAAATATGAACTTTATGTAATAATTTTCTGTGTAATCTCGATTCACATTTTGTGGATGTTAACTCCAATGAAGAATTGTGCATTTCGATCCAGCAACTCATGAAAGAAAAATCGTCATCCCATTCAACCTAAATGTTATATCATCCATTATTTTATGGCATATAAACTGAAACATCAAATTCTCTTCAATCTTTGAAGGTCAAGACCTGGAAAATATTGGCCTGGACCGGCAGGGTCAGCTTTAATCAAATAAGAGAGGCTGAAGCTCGATCCAAGATCCAGCATGGGCTTAACCTGGAGCTTAAAATCTAGAGAGAATAGGCTTGACCTGAGGATCAACTTTGGCTTAGTGGAATAATCTCGGCATTAGACTACATTGGGGTTGCTAGGATAGGCTCGACCTTGATCTTAGCTTTTGGAGACATGAAACTAACTGCATCGAAGTTTGACGTTATCATCATTCCGATGATCAAACGGATGTATGCAATGAGGCTATATATTGAAATCTTGAGAGAACAATGCCCTATGTACAGGGTACTGTTCTACAGGGGCTTCCGGCTCCCTCACTGTAGATCGACCTGCATTAAAAAGAAAAATGAAAATTGTGCGGGCCCCGTCCTTGTGTGTGCCTTGGTCGAGCCCTGTGAAAATGTCCCCTATAAGTAAAGCATCGTCCATCTCGAGATCCTATCTAGACTCCGAGTTCACACCTCAACTTTTAGGCCATACTCAGCTTCATTAATGCATGATTATCATGTGGCTACCTCAAGTTTCTGTGTCCCTAAGGTCGTGGTAGTTTCCATGAGGATATTGGAAACATCGAGCACGTTAATCTCAAGGTCAGGTTCGGAGTGTTGGATTTTTGATCTTATTGCATATCAATTATGTGTTTTTTTTAGTCACTTGGATCAATAGGAATGATGAGCAATGATGATGATTTTGAATTCAAGGAACTAGATTAGGTTCAACTGTTGAAATAGTACTTTAAAAAAATAATAATAATAATACTAATAATAATACACTAGAAGCCCGGATGATCCATAGACGAAGCGGCTCATGTCCAAATTCGAACACTTTTTTGTAAAATAATGAGAATAAAGGTTCAAATTCAAACACATTTTTATAAAATGAGAATAAATAATAACAAATTTGTTTACAACTGTTTTACAATATTCAGCAGAACGAATATGAAAACTGGAGCCTGGCACATATTTGACAATTACATAAATGGCAAAATATAAAAATTCTATTAAATATGACCACAGAGAGCTATCTCATACACAAACTGCTATACAAGTGACACCATTCACTCCTAATGGAATGTTTGAAGCTCAATTTGCAATGGAGTCGCAGCTATGTTTACTCCCGCACCCTTATTCCTGCCTTGCATATACGAATAGAAGGTATGATTTGAAACCCGTGTTTTTTACTTCATGCTTGTAGGAGGCGTTTATCAGCTGTCAATATCCTATAACTGGCATGAGGGCCCTCAGACGTGTCTCGGATTGATACATGCCAACCCATGGCCGTCGCAATTTCTTGCAGTTCATCCATAACAGTAAGAGAATCACGAATGTATACACGTCCACCAGGCCTTAAAATCCGATCCATTTCAAGCATGATGGTCGAGATATTGCACCTGAGGTATAGAAACCAACAGAATTCTGACGTACAAAACATCTTCATACAACTAAAACAAAATGGACTACTTAAGCAAGATCATCTATGAAAAGATACAGATCAAATACTTTCAATTGAAATGTCAAAAAATATCACTTTTTATCCATCATGAAACAATATGAAATAAGTTATTATCGCCAACATTCAAAACTGAAATTTTTCAAGTCAACATCGTCAATATTGAAATTTACTGTCTTTGTAATTGTAGCAAATAAAGAACTAGTGTACCTTTTTTGTTCAATGGAGAACAGTCCAGCAGCATGCAGTAAATCATAGGTTCTTGGGTATGTGTCAAATGCTTCACACCTGGAAAGTGAAGTGAAACTCAATATACAAACATCTAATGACAGTTCACTTGCTCAACAATTGCAAACACAAATCCACGCCTGGAACCACCAAATATAATTAATGCACATTTTGGGTTATAAAATTGTGAAAAGGTTTCAGACATGAAGGTCGATTTCCGCATTTATTTCTTGTCCTCCCAAAATGTTTGTGGCGTTTATTTATTGGAGTTGGGAGAGCTTGGGTTAGAAATGTAAGAAAGAAAATGCGTATGAATTGTGCAATAAGGAACACGCATGAAACAATAAGAATATCATACATAACTTATGTCAAATACATACCAGTCATGCATAACTCCAATAAGACCACGGTCATATATAACGGGCAATGTATTGGGTCCACTAACAGGGACGACATTGAGAACCCAGCAATCCAATTGATTTTTGATTAGTGCTGCTGCGAATCTGCCAGAGAAACAATTATTCAGAGTGACTGAACACAAAAATTAACAAAATACTTAGTGATGTCCAATTCATAATATATAGCTGCATAATAAAATAGGAAGCAAAAAAGTAATACCCTCCAAAGCCAGCTCTCATATCCAACACATTTCTAAGTCTGAACTCCTTCCAATGTAACGCTCGTACATAGCTTTGAATTATTTCATCCCAATATCTTGATTCTGCCCTGAAAAGCTCATTCCTTGAGATGTAAGCATCAATCTGTATACTCTGGAGCCTATCTGGAGGATTCTGCAACCGTGCTGGCCAGGTGGTAATATTCGAGCCATACCCTTCCTCAGGCAATCGTGTTATACACGCCTTTAAATCAACATACCTAACATAATTGGGAGAGGAATCTATCAATACGAAGGGACAGAAAAATGCAAAGAGAGCTCTTGTAACCAACTCAGATGTATGCAAAATTTAATCATCAGCATAAAATGGAAGGCAAAGACATTCACGAGCAACATTTTACAAATTTTAAAATTAGATTCATATTAGAACAGCCCCATTAACATTTGGGATGATTTGCTGGAAACCAGTCAAACTATACTGTAACTACTTGTAGTTCTTTCACATCTCTTTCATGTAGTTTAGAAAAACAATAATTTTCAATAATTTATGGGTCATTTTTCTGAATAGAAAGCATCTCTATGCCTCAAGTTTATTACTCATATCAGCATGCATATTCAAGAACGTGAGAGAAGAATTCAAGTTTGAAAATGATTAATTTCAACCAGTCTGAAGTTGAGGGTTATATTTACTTAATCAGGTATTATACATATTTAGGAATACTCTCATGACACATTCACAAGGTAACAGCACTCCTAGAGAATCTATCCAAAACCCAGCACACATTTAGCAATATGGTAATTAAATAAAATATTCATAGCAGCTGTAGTCTTGCTACACCAATAATGAAGCACGCTCAACCTGACTATCTAATTTAGCATATTTTACCCCTAATATTATAAATCAATTTCTGTGGTTAACTGCATTTCGGATTGATAACAGCATCAGATGATACCAATGATGAGCCAAATTTGAAGAGATTTAAGTCAATTCTAATGCTTAGAGAACAAATGTTATTTCACAATATCTTGTACATTCTCTCATTTTTACAGCTACATAACAGAAGAATATAGAGCTGAACTACCATAATTCGATATTCTTTCAAAGAACCTATTGATTCTACACTCATTACATGCTAGAAAAGCATATCAATGCATGATGACATTGAACAAATTATGCTATCAATTTTTATCTTAAGATCTATCTCCCGCTCGCACCTCATTTGCATATGCATTAGTTACCGAACAGATAGATTTACCAAAAAATAATTATTAAAAAAAAAAAAACTGGAACGTCTATGTTAATCTATTGCATGTTATCACTTACAGAAAAGATAAAACAGAAAACAACACAAAATATACCAAACACTGTCTGGATCATCATCTGGATCACATAACGGTGGTTTGGTTCCTTCCACACGGCTTAAATAGCAGGTATTATTTAAGGGTTTCTGCCATATAGCAATGTACCCCTCCTTCTTAACAAGCTCCCAACAAAGACGACTAGTAAGGTTGACCATTTCTGGAAACAAGCAAAGGAAATTGGTTTAACAAAAACTGTTCTTGCTCCTAGATGGTGCGCCATCTGCTAAAGTTCAATTATGCAAGATATGATCTGGGAGCCCTTGCTCAATTTTTTATAATGTGATAACTTCAAAATATAAAATTAGATTCAAAGAAGTGGACATGAAATAGGGTGAGTTACAGAAAGCTCAAGAATTAAGCTCTGTCTCACGGATGACAAGCCCAAAAGATGAGACCGTTTGACTCGTGGATAAACTAATGATGATTCCTGAGTTGTGCACAGTTTCAATGTTCTGTTACCTTCCCATTGCTCTTCGAGAAGTGCTTCATGCTTATAAACAGGCTGTGCAGCCCAAGCAAAGTATCCTCCAGCTCGGAGAAGCCTATTGACTTCAAGTAGCAAGATCCCATCTTTGACACGGCACATGAAAAGATAAAGGAAAAAATGAGAGTTTAACATCAGTAAAGATATTTCACTGAACCAAAAATAGTACAAAATTTGAGCAGGGAAGACTTAAATAAATAATGAAATAGTATGAGCAGTATCACATGGCAAGGATGATAGATAAACATCAAGATATCTTCAAATAATGGTATCTTTCCCCCGTCCAGTGCAACAAGATGTTGTGATATGAATTGAAACAATTATTTCAAAACCAACAACCCTAACACTATGATTTTTCATGAAAGATGACCGGAATCCACAATAACTAGAAACCTATAACTGTCTTCATAATTAAGAGCCAAAATTAATATAACATGGATACCGTCATAAAATGCACAACTAAATAATTTGGACTTTTGAGACTGACATTAGAAGTTCCCTAAACTATTTTTTTGGTCACAGATTGCTCTACAGATTTATGAATTACAACCATTTACTATGATCTCAGTTTCCAGTTCAAAGGATGAATTGGTTTTAAGGGTTCCCCTGAAATTCTTTGATTTCTGGGAGTACAAAATCCCACGAACCAAATCTCATTTGAGGACTATATAGAACCTAAAGAAAATTTCAGTTGCAATTAAATTCAGT